GGTGAAATAGGCAAAATTGGGGCCAGTTGACATTTGAACTGAAATAGGCCATAGTTCTAACAAGTAAAGAGAATGGGTAGGGCAAGTTTGAAGTTGTTACAAAAGATTTGAGTCTATCTGTGAAGTCATTGGTTCTAATTTATTTTTATTAGAAACACTCTCTTTCTACAAAATGTCTACTAGAGAATACAGAGCCAGTTTCGTGATACACGTAACTAGGACTCTATTGGATGCCCGAATCCCTCAAATGATATTTCAAGTCCTTATATGACTGCCCAGTGGTAACTATCTATTTACGGTATTGCAGGTGTCCAGGCTGGTGCAGAAAGCAGCACGTATCTGGAGCTCCTGTTGGCCTATGATCTCTGTTTATTCTTCTTATCCTTTCTAATGTAAGGTATATATACATCATATGTAAAGTGCACAAATCGTAAGTATACAACTTGATCAATCATTTTCACAAAGTGAACATACCATGTAAATATAGCCCCATATCTAAAAAAAAAAGAACTCTGGGGAAGCCATCAACATGCCTTCTTGGTCACCACGCTTTCCACTCCCACCAGAAAAACTACCATCCTGACTTCTAACACTGTGGATTACTTTTACTGGCTACTCCTGCTTTTCTTTTAATTGAAATTTTTATGGAGATAATTGCAGATTTACAAGCAGTTGCTGTAAGAAATAATACAGAAGGATTCTTGGTACCCTTTGCCCCGTTTTCCCCAAAGGTAACATTTTGCAGAACTATAGCATAATGTCACAATCAGGATATTGATACTGATACAGTCCACTTACCTTCTTCAGATTTCTTAGTTTTACTTGTACTTACTTGTGTGGGTGTACGAAGTTCCATAGTTCCTCCATTACACAGAGGTTCATTTATCCACTACCACAGTCAAGGTTCCAATACCCCGAGTTCCAATACCATAAGGGTCCTTCATGTAACCAACACCCATCTCCTTTCTGAATGATCCCTCCCAACCTCTGGCAACTAGTCTAGCCTCCATTTATGAAATGTTGCCACATCAGAAATATTACATAAATGGAATCATGCAATGTGTAAACTTTCCAATGGACTTTTTCTGTTCAACAAGGCTACTCTTTTTTAGTATGATTAGAATGCTTCTTTTAAAAGCTATCCATCAGTTTTACT